ACTGCAACTTTGCAAAATGATATATACATCTTATTGAACAAAAATAACAATCAAATGGTACTGTAATATTTCCTGACGATTTTATAACAGTAGCTACTATATTTAAATGGAAATCTACAAATTTTTGTATGTAACAATGAAAACATGCATTACCGCAAACACAGTACTTTGCTTCATCCAAATATTTTACTAATGTAAATGGAATTATACTTGCATCGTATGAACACCTAAAAAAACAGAGAAACATAATTTTTAAATCTTTTCTTAAAGATTATTAAATAATGAATAAACTAATTATAAATTACGTTTCCCTGCAAACCTTGTTTTAAGAAACGATCTAGCTGCGCATTCTGTTAAACTTGGTACCTCTATTCTCCATGAAGAATATGAATCTGCAGTTTTAAATGTATTATCAGACACATCCAATGAAAGGAGATGTAAATTTCTCATACTACCAGGCATACAACGTAAAGTATTTTTTGATACATCTAAATATTTTAAATTAGATAATCTACCAAGACTTTGTGGTAAATATGACAACATATTTTGGCTAGCCTTAAAATTAACAAGACCTCCAAGTTTTCCAATTTGTTCTGGTAATTTCACTAACTAGATCAAGAAAAACAATAATATATTATTTTAATAGCAGAATGTATGTAACAATAGATCTGTTTTGTAAGATATAAAATTAACATACCAAATTATTACTTATGTCTAATAACTTTAAATTAGATCTGATAGCAACTTGATCTAACCATGCCCATTTTGTAACTTTATCAAGTCGATTTTTTGATAAAATAAGTTCTTGCAAATGGTGTAAAGTACCTAATTCTTTTGGTAAAGATGAAATCAGATTATTAGACAAGTTTAAAATTCTCAAACTCTGAAGCCTTAAAATTTGTCTATCAAATGATTTTCTATTTAGTCCAACTAAGTATAACTCTTCTGTTGTTCTTGGGAAACCTTCTAAAGTTGGATATTCTGAAGATTTATTAATTGTCACTTTAATCTTTAAATTTGATACAGGATTCATCTTTTTAGGGTTTAAATTTGATATAGCAAGAATTGATGGGTCTAGCTTATTTCTTAACCCAAGTTTTAAAATATGAATGAAACTTTTTAGTTGAATGGTATCAGATTGAATAATTACATCATAAGGTGGTTCTATTAAACGAATTGTAGCCTTTCCCTCATGGATAAATTTTGTAAATATATTATCTACATTATTGTTAAGCTGAAAAAAATGAAAATAAAGTATTTAATTATTTTTAATAAACAGGATATATTTTAAAGTATTTTTGTACTCATGTATAATCAAACAAAATATTTTAATTTCCAAAACATGTACATCTAAACATTGTTACCTTATATTTAGTACCCTGCTTATTCTGTAATGTTTGCCAAAGAATATATAATTCTGTACTTTTTACTGTTTGTCTCCCAATTGCTAAAATGGAACGTTGTGATTTTCTTTTTATTACATTTGTTGAATATAATCTGTTATTAACTTCTACATTACAGTGAAGTTTCATCTTGAGCAAGTACCTTTGTAACAGATTATAAAACATTTTATTACTTTAGAAAATATTCATTAGTAATAACAGTTTTAAGTTAATACATATTTTTCTAGTATTATGTAATATTGGCGTTTTTATTGAATTAGTATGTATTTCACTACATGTTTCAATACATGATATGATATACAGATAAATTTCAGCTTTTCATAAATATATAATAATATAATAAAAAAAGCAAAATAAGTTTCTTCTTTTTCATTTAATAGATTATAATAAAATACAAATAATTTATTTTTTGCGGATAAAGAACGATGAATCTATTTGAAGAAACAAATATATTAAATATTAAGATATAGCTAATACCTTATCAACTTAACCTGTCAGATTTAGTATGTTAACTGATTATAAATATTACTAATTTCAATACCATTAAATAATAAAATTGCTCATTACTATATTCACTTTTAATTCAAACAAAACTTATAGGTGTTTATAAATCAATATAATATTCCACTCTCAACAAAGGAAAATTAAATTTAACATAAGCGTTCAAAGGCGGGAAAATGAACATAGGAGAATAGCGAGATATTTTTTAAGCTGAGTAATCCAAACACGTTCAAATTCGACAACAGGTGGAGCCCCTCGTGCGGTTTCTTCCTTTTCTACATGCTAACAACGTTCCGCGGGAAATATTTTTATTTTGAACGAGAATCCAATTATGATGGAAGCATATTCGAGGATAGAATTACGCGCAATCTAATGCGCAGCAACGTCACTGTAATAATTGGTTACAGAATAAAACTAGTTGTCGGAAACAGGAGCCTAAGCTCTGGAGCTATGCTTGAACATCCTTTTTCAGTAACGGACACAAATACTGTTTACAATATTGAAAATTTAAACTACGTTAAACAAGTTGATAAAACACGACAATATACTATTCTGAATAACGAATTTTACTTATATGTTGTTACGTTTTAATAGATAAAACACCAATGTAAAATATGCGTATTTAATGCATCTACTTATATAAAAATTTGAGAAAATATCAACGAAGTTTAGTCACGTAAGTATTACATTTTTAGTAATTGTGCATTTGTATATATATGTAAACAGATAAGAATGTACTGTTACAGTAGATATATAATTAATATTATACATAAAAATAATAATAAACTACTCTATGTGTACATCTTTTAATTAACCAATTTATATTTTAGTAACATCATAAAAAATTAATTAAAATTATGCTGTCAATATTGTGATAAAGGGAGAGATTAAAGGGATAAAATATTTTTGAGATCTCTAATTTTTTAAGTTATATCACAATGAAATCTACTAAATCTAAATTTAATAAACAAGCCTCCATAATGGATATGTTTTCTAAACAACTTGCAAAGAAAAAACAGGCAACTTATGATAGAAATAATGAACAAGAACTACAAGAATTACAAAATATTAAAACAGGAGATGATCCATTGACAAAAAATGAAGAAGATAAAGAAAATCATAATTCAGAGGCAAACCAAACATCTGCAGATGAACATCTTGCAAAAAAAATCAAAGTTGAAGAGAGTATAATTCCTTTGAAAGATGAAATTAAAAAGGCAAATGTGTTCCCCAATAAATGTGAATACTGTCGTCAAAAATTAAATGAAATCAAATTTTATCCAGGCCATCCAAATGGTGCTGTAGATGAAGATATTGCTTTAACTGATCCAAAATTATGTTTATTTAATGGAGATGAATCTTTTATACATGAAAGTGATGAACACCCTCAAAATAAAATAACTTATTTTAGGTAAAGCTTTTCTATTTCTTAAGTAATTTTATATATATTGAAAAAAGTTTTATAACTTCATTAATTTTAGTGTTTATGATAAAAATGGTCACTTGAGTGCTTTTGACACTGGACTTATAGAAAGAAATGTTATGTTATATTTCTCTGGTTATGTGAAAGCTATTTATGAAGATGATGCATCACCAGAGGGTGCAGTACCAGTGAAAGATATGGGCCCAATAAATGAGTGGTATGTATGTGGCTTTGATGGAGGAGAACTTGCACTTATAGGTTTTAGTACAGCCTTTGCTGATTACATTCTAATGGAACCATCTGAAGCATATGCTCCTTTTATGGATTTAGTTAGAGAAAAAATATATATGAGTAAATTGGTTATCGAGTTTCTCTTAAATGAAGTTAGCCCCAGCTATGAAGATTTGCTCAATAAACTTCAAGTAATTTAAGTGTATTATTAAAAGTGTTCTAGGGAATATATTTTATTTTACACTAAAGTTATGTGGTTTTTACAGACAATAGTACCACCTACAGGCATGACACAATTTACTGAGGATTCTCTATTAAGACATGCACAGTTTATATGTGATCAAGTATTATCATTTGATGATTGTGCTGAACCAGAAGATATTCCTTTAATTACAAGTCCTTGTATGCGAGCATTAGCAAATCTTGCAGGTGTTACATTAGGAAAGAGAGGAGCTCTCCGTCGAACACAGCGCAAAGCACAAAAAATTAATAAACCTGTTTGGACAAAAGCAACAACTACACAATTAGTTAGTGATATGTTTGAAAATATTTTTGCAGATCAATTGATTAAACATGATGATAAAATAACAATGGTAAGCATTTAGCCTTATAATTAAGTATTCATATTATTTTTTATATTATATACTATATCTATTCATCCTGAAAGATGAATACTAATGTATTTTAAACATGCCCTATATTTAGTTCTTTATATCTTCAGGGACCTAAAAGACAAAGATGTGGAATATGTGAACATTGTCAACAACCTGATTGTGGTCTCTGTAATAATTGTAAGGATATGATTAAATTTGGAGGAACTGGAAGAAGTAAGCAAGCTTGCATTAAAAGAAGATGCCCAAATATGGCTATTCAAGTAAAAATGATTTCCTAATATAATTGTTATTTGAATAACTATAGTAATTATTGCAATAATACATAATAAAAATTTTATATTTCCTTAATAGGAAGCAGATGATTCTGATCCAGAAAATGAAGATTATTATGAAATGATTGGAGAAGAAGAAAATAAAAAAAAGCTTTTTAAAGAACTTGAAAAAAATATTGTATGGGTGGGAGATCAAGTTGCTGTTGATAATCAAAGAACCTTTTACAAATCTGTTCTTGTGGGTAGTGAAAAAATAGATATAAATGATTATGTACTTGTGGAACCAAAAAATTCAGCAATTCCATTACATGTTGCTAAAGTTATTTATATGTGGGAAAACAAGAATGGTATAAAACAATTTCATGCAAACTGGTTTCATAGAGGAAATGACACTATTCTTGGAGAAACATCAGATCCTATAGAATTATTTTTGAGTGATAACTGTGACAATGTACCCTTTAAATCTGTTAGATCTAAATGTACAGTTATTTTTAAAAAAATACCAGAAAATTGGACCGAGTTAGGTAATACATTTAACAATCACTAATCAAGTGTTTCACATAAGTATTGACAAAAACTGGTTCATGATATATTTATTATAGGTAATATGGTTTTAAATTCTGAAGATGATATAAAAAACATCGACGGTAAAACATTTTTTTATCAGAAACGTTACGTATCTGAAACAGCCAGATTTGAAGATCCACTACCTGATCCAGAATTCTTTCATAAAGCAAATAATCATCGGTTTTGCCCTGCTTGTGTTCGTTTAAATACATTAGAGCAATTCAATGTACCAAAGGTATAAAAATATCCATTTGTAATTATATTTTTTTTTTATAAGATATAATTAAATATATATTGAAACTTACATGCTTACTAAATTTTAAATTTGTATAATATTTATATTTGTTTATGCTTCAAGGTATATGAGCGGTTAGAAGAAAAAAGTAGCAGGGAAATTATTTATGGTCTAGTAAAATATAAAGGAGAAGAATATAGGGTTGGTACAGCTGTATTTTTACAACCAAAAGCTTTCAATTACAAATATAGAATTTCGTATCAAGATATTTCAAAACTAAAAAAGGAGAATGTGGATGAAGATATGTATCCTGAATTTTATAGGAAGTCTTCTGATCATGTGAAGGGTTCAAATTTTGACACCCCTGACCCATTTTGTGTAGCATATATAAATGAAATATATGCTAGTGTAAACGACATGATAGTTTCACCTTCTGATATTTATATTAAAGTGAATAAGTTATACAGACCAGAAAACACACATAGGGATCATGCATTAATGGAGCAAGCAGATTTAAATATGGTTTATTGGAGCGATGAAGGTACACCATAAAGACTATATATAATTGAAATCACAGTTGCATAAACCTATACAAATATATACATATATATTATAATTTGTAAAATACAATTTTATAGTGTACAATATCAAATTTACTGAAGTTGTTGGAAAATGCTATCTTGTTTATTCTGAAAATATAAATGAACCTCTTGATGAGTGGACTGCTGCAGGACCAAATCGTTTTTATTTTAATGAAGCTTACAATGTGCAGGAAAAAACGTTTGATGAACCACCGTATCGTGCTGTTATCATTGGTAAATCTGGTAAAAGCAAAGGTAACCAAAAGTTGAAAGGGAAGAAAACAGACGAATATGAAAAAAAAGCACTCGTTAATAAACCCGTTGAATATAATACAATATCAAAAAAATTAAAAACATTGGATGTATTTGCTGGTTGCGGTGGTATGTAACATATTATACTTCTTATAAGATTCTGTAATTTATTTTACACTGGTATTAATTTGCATATAGTAAGTTGAAAAAGTATATATTTTAACTGATTTATTTCACAGGATTATCTGAAGGTTTACATCAAGCTGGTGTAGCTGAAAGTCTTTGGGCTATAGAGAAAGAAGTACCAGCTGCTTATGCATATCGGTTAAATAATCCTAATGCAGCAGTATTTATAGAAGATTGTAATATATTATTACAGAAAGTTATGGATGTAGGTATTATTTGTATAGTCCAGATAATTTATGCATTATTTATGTTAATATAATTCCAGGGTAAAGTAGCAGATGAAATTGGTCAAAAGCTTCCTCAAAAAGGTCAAGTAGAATTATTATGTGGTGGTCCACCATGTCAAGGTTTTAGTGGCATGAATCGTTTCAATTCACGACAATACTCTTTGTTTAAAAACTCCCTTGTTGTTTCTCTTTTATCATATTGTGATTACTATAGACCTAATTTCTTTGTGATGGAAAATGTTCGAAATTTTGTATCTTTTAAAAGGAGTATGGTCCTAAAACTAACATTACGATGTTTAGTACGCATGGGTTATCAATGTACATTTGGTATTCTTCAAGCTGGAAATTATGGAGTACCTCAAACAAGACGAAGGTTTGCTTTTATTCTAAGTATAACTATATTTCGAATTCACCATTTCTCTAGCTTCGTTGTGCTATGTTATGTAGAATGATAATCCTAGCTGCTGCACCAGGACAAAAACTACCAAAATATCCAGAACCGACACATGCGTTTAGTAAACGCGCTTGTCAATTAAGTGTCTTAGTTGATAATAAAAAGGTAAGTAATATTTATCACTGTATCTTAATATATATAGATACTGATGATCAATGTAAAAGATGCAATGTTTGATTTACCAGAAATTAAAAATGGATGGAACAAAGAAGAAATGCCATATAATAATGAGCCAATATCACATTTCCAAAGAAAAGTACTAGTCTAATAGTAACAAAATTTACTAATATAAAAAGATAGAATTAAAAAAAAAAAACTTTCTTTACATTATAAATTTATATTTTTTTTAGATGAGAGGAAAGCAATATCAACCAGTATTAAAAAATCACATATGCAAAGAAATGGCACCTCTTGTAGAAGCTAGAATGGCACATATCCCAATTGCTAGTGGTTCCGATTGGCGTGATTTACCAAATATTGCTGTAAGGTTGCATGATGGTACTTATTCTAAAAAATTGTAAGTAAATAAAATATAGTTTTTCGGATTTGTTTTCCTTATATTTAAAACTATTACCATATATAATCTTTCATTTTAGGGAATATACTTATGATGATAAAAAGGCTGGAAAAAATTCTATGGGAGGATATCGTGGAGTATGTAGTTGTTGTACAGGAAAATCATGTGATCCTATAGATCGACAATTTAATACACTAATTCCATGGTGCCTACCTCACACAGGAAATCGTCATAATCATTGGGCAGGTTTATATGGCAGATTAGAATGGAATGGATTTTTTAGTACAACTATTACAAATCCTGAACCTATGGGAAAACAAGTATATAAGACTCATGTTTTAATTTTAATTAATTGTAATTTGAATTACAATTTATGTATAGTTGATGTGACAAATTTATTTTATTTTCCAGGGGCGTGTATTACATCCGGTACAAACTCGGGTAGTAAGTGTTCGTGAATGTGCCAGATCTCAAGGATTTCGTGATTCATTTCGTTTTTATGGCTCTATACTTGATAAACATCGTCAAGTTGGAAACGCAGTTCCTCCGCCACTCGCAGTAGCTATTGGTTATGAAATAAGAAAATGTATACGAAACAAAGAAGTGATGGCTGGAAGCGATTCAGAAATTAAAAGTTAACCGAGGCAAGTCGGAAGGAGATAATGAAAATTTAGAATAATTAGACAATTTAATTCAGCAAAAACGAATTTAATTACGACATAGTCTGAATATTCATATTTTATTATTAATAATACAGATGTAGAAAGTTTCCATACTGCCATATTTTTTTCTGCTTTTCTTTTTTATGATATCAATTGTATTCTATTAATTTATAAGAATATTTATTATATTTGTGTAATTCTATTTTTAAGTATAATTTATTGGTGGTCTGTAAGGGAGAAATAAATAGGCTGTAAAATGCTCTAAAACAAACTGGAATATTGTAACCTTTTGTAATATACATTTTGTAGTTATCTTACAATAAATAATTTATTTTTTGATAAATAATTGCATTTTTTGCAATTAATTGCATAATAAATTGTATTATTTAAATTACAATATAAATTAAAGGATTAAGAAGTTCAATTTATAAACATGACATTACAGACACATTCGGAAAATATGAATTTCTTATTACGTATAGACCGCAATGTGTTTTCTTCGACTTGTATTTAATTTGTTTAATCTGATAAAAGCAGAGAGATAAGTTGTTTAATCTGATAAGAACAATATTACAACTAATATTGTATCATACAAGATGATTTGTTCCTTGTTTAAAGTATTTTATATATTGTAATAAAAGTTAAAAATTGTGTTGTTTATAACAAACTCTTAAATAAAAAAAGTATGTTGTTTACTTAGAACGTATATATTCTAATAAATATGTTCGAAGATTGTTTACGAGTTATTTTAAGTTATTTTAAAGAATTAATAAATAAGGTTAGTTTCTTCATTTTTGAAATGTAAACGTTAGACAATTTTTATTTAAAATTTTAAATTACACATTAATTTTCGGTGAAAATTTTGTATTGTTAAAAAACTGTAACGACAATTTTTTAAATTATTTATTTTTGTGGAATAGCAACCTCACTTTTACCAGAAACAGAGTATACTTTTACTATAAACGAGATTTTTACTTTATGACGTTTAATCCATATGGTTCACTACAGCAGGTGTTATTGCATACGTATAAACAGATATTATAAGTTTTACAAAATAAAAATTTAATAAGCAATGGAATCTTCTCAATTAGAAAATATTTTAAACGTTAAATATACGAAAAAATACGATGGATATGTTCAATACGGAACTGCCGGTTTTAGAACAAAGTAAGTATTTTATTTCCCTATTTTAGTAAAACTATGAATTATCTAAGTAATTGATAATTTCCTTTTTTTAATTATTACTGCAGTCATAAGTGAATGTATGAATTATGAATTCATTCTAATATTGTATTATCATTATTAATAAATTCTATTATATTCGATTAAATTAAAATTTGTTTAATATTCAATGATTTATTTATTGTATTATATATGTATTTCTTCTTAATTATTATTTTTATTTTAATAAAAAGCTTTACTTAAATTTTATATTAGGGCAGATGTTCTTGAACATGTTCTTTATAGAATGGGATTGTTAGCTGTATTAAGATCTAAAGTTAAAAATGGTAAGTTTAAGCATAAAATTTCATTCTACTATACACATTTTTGTTTCTTACTTTTTGTTATATATCTTATCTGTAACTAAAGAAATCTATGTTTTTTATAGCTGCAATTGGTTTAATGATTACTGCAAGTCACAATATTGGATCTGATAATGGTGTGAAACTTATAGATCCAGCTGGTGAAATGTTAGAAGCAGCTTGGGAACTTATTGCTACCAATTTAGCTAATGTAGAAGATTCAGATTTAGTTTTTACAATAAGGCAGATTATAGAAGAACAAAATATCAATATGTCTGCAGATGCAACTGTGATAACTGGTAGAGACACTAGAGAAAGTAGCCCTGTATTATTAAATGCTGCTATTGCAGGAATTCAAGCTTTACATGGAATTGTAAAAGATTTTGGAATAGTTACAACTCCTCAATTACATTATCTTGTTGTATGTACAAACACTAATGGTAGTTATGGTGAACCTACATTACATGGTTATTATACAAAATTGTCCAAGGCATTTAAGTATGTAAGACAAGATAAAATTAACAATGGACAGTACGTCGCAGAATTGTCATTAGACGCTGCCAATGGTGTTGGTGCTACTGTTATGAGAGAATTCTATAATTATTTAGTAGGGACAATTATAATCAATATGTATAATGATGGAATTGGAGATTTAAATCACATGGTATGAATTCTTATTTTAATATTATAACGTAATTAAAACTGGACATTTTAATAACGTATTTAAATAATTTATTTTAGTGTGGAGCTGACTATGTCAAAGTAAAACAAATGCCACCTGTAAGTGTCCCCAACAAGCCTAAAGTTAGATGTGTATCTATAGATGGTGATGCAGACAGAATAATTTACTTTTATTTAGATGAAAATTATGAATTTCATCTTTTGGATGGCGATCGAATAGCAACACTTATTGCTGCATATTTTAAAGAACTTTTGCAAGAAAGTCGTTTATCGTTTCAGCTTGGCTTGATACAAACAGCATATGCTAATGGAGGTTCCACGAATTATATTTCAAATGTATTGGTATGCGATAGTATTAATAATCACTTACTAATATATTGATATACTAGTACCTTTAATAATATAGCTACATATTGTAAATTTAAAATTGTTATTTTTATAATTTTTTTCTTTAGCAAATTCCAGTTGTTTGTGCATCAACTGGTATTAAACATTTACATAGTAAAGCTTTAGAATTTGATATAGGAATATATTTTGAAGCAAATGGTCATGGAACTGTACTCTTCAAAGAAACTGTTATTCAAATAATTAAAAATGCTGTTATAAATCCAGAGTAAGTTTTATCGAATTCGTATTTTTTTTTTTTTTTATTCTTATACAACCGGACACGGCGTGATTCCCTGTGTAAAAATAAATCAAAAACATAACAGTTTGTATTGTCGGTTGTATCACTATTACGAATAAACGTAATAATGTAAATGCACGCGTATATGTATGTGTATATAACATTGCAGGCTGTCTATAACTGAAAAAACAGCTGCTTCCAAATTGTTAAATATAATAGATATGATCAATCAAACAGTTGGAGATGCTCTTAGTGACATGTTATTAGTAGAAACAATTTTACATGACAAAGGTTGGAATATCATGGATTGGGAGGAAATGTACAAAGACCTACCGAATAAACAATTAAAAGTAATAGTTAGTGATAAAAACCTTATAACAACAACTAATGCAGGAAGGCAATGTGTAACTCCTGAAGGATTGCAAGGAGAAATTGATAAAGTAGTATCAAAATATAGAAATGGACGATCTTTTGTCAGGTACAATATA